ACGGAGGCTCCGGCCCTTCGAGGCTGGAATCGGTGTGGCAGAATGTCAGCTCCTTGCCCCCTCCGCTCAGAATAATGCCTGAAATGCTAGCAAGCGTAGTTTGAAATTTGAGAGTTACTGTTACAAGCTGGCAGTCTTTTTACACGGCTGCCCAGCAGCGTTTTGCAGCGCAGGGTAATTTATTCACAGGGTAGTTTATTCGCGGGTGTGTTAATCAGCAAACGAGTAAATTGAGTCTTTTTTTTTTTTTTTAATCTGAATGCCTAACACCGCAATGCCGTTTGTGGCATTATCAGTAGTAAGGTCTGCAAAATAAGGTGGTTAATTTTTTACACTGTCGAAAATATTAACTGTGGAAGAATGATATTTTAGAGATCGGTATTTTAGTGAAAGGGTGTATTTCTTTCCCCACATCCATTTGGGATTGTGCACATATTTATTCCTATGTTTGCTTTAATTACTTTCCAAACCACATCCCTATAAATCATTGTACTTCTCAATTTTTTTTTCTGAAATAGAAAGCTCTTTTCTTTGTCTATTCAAGCTCAATTAATATTTAGTCCTTTTAGAAACCTCTAATTTGCGTCTACAGTTAATTCTTTTGAAAACTATTCTGTATTCTTTCCTCTAATCTATCTTAACTGTCTTTTTCTTTTCTCCTAGTTCTCCTTGGAGTTTTCTGCCATCTCTAGCAATGTGTACATAGTGATTCACCTTTAGAAAATAGAAAAGACACCAGCTGTAGATATAGGTATCTTCCTTTGAAAAGGGGAAAGGTGTATGAGAGGAATGGGGGTGAAAACAGGAAAAATCCTGTTCTCTTGACTCATGTAAATAGTTTCATTAATTCAATGGAATTACTTGTCTGGGTAGAGCAAACAGGATTGGACCCTATCTGTTATATTAAATTAAGCCAGAGAGCTTGGTAATTGAATGTGCTGGAAACTGAATTTCTATGTTTTATTGAAGTTGTAGTTCAGAAGAAATAAAATAATTGAATGCTTTCCATATGTGGGAAAAAAAATTGTCATTAAAGGTGAATGGTTATCTTTCTCCTTAAGACTCATGACGGAATACCAGTCATAACACGCAGTTGGGCTTTCCTTTTTTTTTTTCCTTCTTCTTCCTTGATCTGTTTGCCTGGAACTACTTCTAAAAAAGCTACCAATCAATTGGCTCTGAGGGATACTACACATGTCAAAAAAGCTGGGCTTGCTTATCCGCGGTGAGGGGCTGACTGTGCCCGGCTGCTCAGCCTCTGTCTCGTGGTGAGGGAGCTGATGGTGACCAGGGTCTGTGGCAAGAGCACGGTGCTTGGAGGGACTGGCTCAGGGAGCTGTTGTAAAAGCACAGCTTTAATGTTTTTATGAAGTGGCTTAATTCCTAATGCTGCTTTGTTGTTTTAGGTTACCGTCCTATTCCAACAGACTCTTACCTGGGAGGGAATTCACCCTTGCCACCTCCTGTAAGTGACAGGATGAGAAAGAGACGGGCTTTTGCTGATAAGGAGTTGGAAAACATTATGCTAGAGAGAGAGTATAAAGAGAGAGATATGATGGAAGCTACACAAGCAGCTGCCCTTTTTCTCCCTAACCGCATGGTGCGTGGAGCTGAATACAATTCGTATAAAACAGCCTTCAACACTACTCAAGTTGATAATCCAAACAAGGAGTTTTCCAATTTTTTGCCAACCTGCCTTGATCTAACAATGCAGTATTCAGGACCTAGCAACATGGAACTAATTTCTTCGAATGTCAGTGTAGCTACTACCTACAGGCAGTATCCCCTGCCTTCTAGGTTCTTAGTGTGGCCAAAATGTGGCCCCATTAGCGACGCTCTCCTCTACCAGCAGTGCCTGTTAAATGCTACTGCTGTCCAAGCTCTCAAACCTGGGACAGGTTGGGATGCCAAGGTCTCACAAAGTCAGGACTGTCCAAACACTGAGCATGACATCATGCCTCCGAAAGTGGAAAATTCATTTGTTCTGACTCACGCGCGAGACATTCAGCAGTCACGTAATGAAATACTGTGCCTTCATCAGGAAGCTCGTGAGAGGTCAGCCTTCTCTCCTCCAAAAAGAACTTTCTCCCAAATTTCTGATAAGGGTTCTCTGTCTCCTCAGGAACAGGCATTAAGCAAGATCAGCAAAAACAGCACCAAGCCCTCTCCACCGCTCAAGTACAGTGCATTTCAGTCACTGTTCCACCAGACATTTCCTGACACCCCAACAGCAGAGTTAAGAATGTCATTTGTGAAGGAGACTTTTGAAGATGCTTCTAAGAAATACAGGGAGTGTGCTGTTAAAGAGAACCAAAAATACAAGTTTACTGTAGATAAATGTGCAAAAGACTTTTTTGGGGCGAAACAGGCCACAACAAAACTTCCAACACCTGAGCCACTGTCATTTTCAGTTGAATCCATCCTTAAACGACCTTCCTCTGCTGTTACTAATGTCTTTGAATGAATAAACTTTACCGTCAGAGTAGGGAGTCTCTAAGCTTTGCTTTCTGCAGAATTGCTCCTGCCTGTCTTATCTCTTAAAAGCTTTCTAAAGAGGAATTTCTGCAGTAAATGGTAATGCTTTCTTTTATTTCAAAATTATGTACATATATATGCATGTTTTCTGAAAAACAGATTTAATTTTTTAAAATTGAAACTGCATGTACAGATTGTAAAGTGTTTTTATTTTAAGCAGCCCTTAAAATCATTAAATAAAATGAGTTTACTTGCAAGCATGGAGTGATCTCTCTCGTGTCTCTAGCATCTTGCAGGCAAGTATGCCCTACTTTCAAAATACACTTTTTATTTTATCTGCCGTTATAAATGTACTTTCTACTTAAGTTGCTGGAGTAAGCAGTCATTTCTCCTGTGAACCTCCAGTAACTTTAAGAAGTAACAACAGTTCATGTAGGCTAGTGTGAATTCACAAGACTTTTTATATATGTAAGTGAGGTTTGGATCAGATTCCATATACCTTTCTTATTCTGAAGGGGGAGTGCAGGCTAGCAAAAAGACTAGTCTATTCCACACCTCTCTATAAAACTTCTGTTACTAAAGTGGGAGAGTTACTAGATTGGTTTTTGAGGGGAATGACTCTAGTGAGCTTTTGATAAAAAAGTCAGCATTTTTTGAAATGCAGTTTTTGAATAAAATGTCTACTTTTTACAATTTTTCCTTTTTTTTTTTTTTTTAATGTTCAATTCACTTTACTTCGAATTTCTATCCCCATGAATATTTCCCTTCTGAGAACATTTCACTTTTGACTGCCAAGAGCCTGAGATTCTTTTTTTGTAATAATTGAAATTACCTTCAGGCTGTAAAAATGATGCACAGAATCATTACTGCTAACAAGAAAACAAATAGCGGTCTCTCAGTTTTTTGATCCCATATCTGTGTGTAGGGATAGAAAATAAAGGTAGAAATAAAGGAGAATATCCAGCAGAAATTATCTGAGAACTGAAATTGCCTCAGGGTTATGGGAAAAAGCATTGCTAGATCTCATCATAACAGAGGTTGAAGCTTTCTAAATCGGTGACTTTGTAAGTTTTCCCCTTTATGTTGCTGCCAGCACATCTAACTAGTGCTAACAGGTAATCCCTTAATTACTTTCCTTCCTTAACGTTTTAATCCTGCATACAGTGCTCATTGATTGAAAAGTGTTTATGTTTGTTCTTAATTTTCATTATTTTCTAGGGACAAATTCTTTTTGGTATTTTTGAGCAGAATGTAATTTTTTTCTAATTTTATTACACTTCCTGCACAGGTTAAGTGCTTATTTTGCTTGTTAATTCCAGATTATGTGACTAAGTCATCTAAGTGTTTAGTGTTACTGCTGGGAGTGGTGTTACAGAAAACCAGGATCCTTTCTGTGTACAGGAGGAGTCATCTGTCCTGAGTGCCTTTCTAAGCCAGTTTGTTAAAGCAGCAGACAGGTTAGAGAAAACACATTTTTCATAGTGTTTAAATTTTTGCATAACATAAAAGCTCAAAAAAACTTTATGTCAGGAATGTAAAAAAAGTTGTAATTTAAAAGAATCTTGGGCATTGGCTAAAGTTTCACTTTTCAAAAGAATTCATACCAACATTTTCTTAGTGAAAAATAGGTTTCAAATACAGTGAGATGCTTTTAATTTTTTCAGTCTGCTCTTTATCCAGTTGCCATTAGAGGGAGTTTTAACTTGCTTGAGCTGAATCAGCTTGTAAATTTGTTCAGCAGCCAGACCAAGTTAAGCAGCTTTTAGCTGGAATAAATGGAGAGATATTCTTCGTAATTTGTATCTTTCACCACTGTTTCCTTCTTTGGCTTTGTTGAACATTGAATGTTAGAAGCAGTTTTACTTAAGCAGGACTTCCTTTGTTTTTAAAAAATATGATTTGTTTTGGTTTTTGAGCTGCTGGTGTAAACTCAGATCACAGATGAAAGAAAGCTCAACAATCTATATACTGAACCAATATCAGATACTGGAACTAGTCCCACTTAAATATTTTTTCTGCTTGACAATGTGTGCACCTAACACTGTCCAATTTTACATCTGAAATATTTTTCTGGGCAATCGCTTGTCTTTATTCATCTCCTAATAAAAAAGACCAGAAAACCAAAGCCCTGTGACAGACTGGTACCTCTTGACCTTTTTAAGAAAAAAATTAAGTGAAAAAATTAAAATCCTGAACATATACCAAGCATTTGTATTTATAAATGTGTATTGATATTCACATGTACACACACGCCATGGTTTAACCCCAGCTGGCAAGTATGTACCATGCAGCTGCTCACGCCCCCACCCTCTCCACAGTGGAGAGAAGAATCAGAAAAAAACCAAATAAAACTTGGGTTCAGATAAGAACAGTTTAATAAGTGAAACAAAATAAAATGTAATAGTTGTAACAACACCAACAGCTATTCTGTAATAGTTGTAATGTTGTAGCAATGAAAAGGAGAGAGACGGAGGAATAAAACTGAAGAGGGAGAAGTGATGTACAATACAATTGCTTACCACCCACTCTCCAATACCCAGCTCCTTCCCCAAAAAAGATCAGCCACTGGGGTTGAGATTCTGTGTTGTGGAATGGCCCTTTGGCAGTTCGGTGCAGTCATCCAGGCCATGCACCTTCATCGATTCTCGTGTGTCTGCTCAGTGCCAGAGCATGAGACACCAACAAGTTCTTGACTTTGGGGAAGAAAACTGAGCAAAAACTGAAACATCAGTGTGTTATCAACATTATTCTCATACTAAAATCAGAACGCTGTACCAGCTACTGAGAAGAAAATTAACTCCATCTCCCCAGCCAAACCCAGGATAGCACACTGATAAATATATATGCCTGTCCCAGATTTTTTACTCAAATCCCAGTCATCAGGAGAGGAGTGACATTTCTATTACTATTTGAAAAAACTGAGATGAAACTTGGACAAATTTCTTCAATAACAAGCAAATGTCACAAGTCAGCATTTCTTACAGTCACTTGCTCATGTCTTGCTACTGTTCCGTTACATCACCCTGTACTTAAATTTCCATTTCTTTCATAGACCCTGGGCCCTACTTCTCATTCATCTTGAAAGCTTGTTGCATTCCTATTTTTTTTTCCTTTCCTTTATTAAAAGTGTGTAAAAAGTCTATTACTCATGGGGAGGATGGCTAGTAGGTTGAGCAAGATAGCACATACTTAGGCAGCATATGATTTTCCTCACACAGTTTTACAGTGGTTGTATAGCATTCTTTAAGCCATAAGCTTCTCTAGAGCAGAAATAGTCAAGTGTCCACTTCTGCTGGTGCAGCTGTCCCTCCTCTGCTGGAAAAGAGGTGAAGGCATTGCTCTGAAATTGTCTAGCACTTACTGCAAGCCACTGTCTTGCAGCAGTAAGTCAGCTGGTAAAATATCTTATGGTCCCCATGCTCTCTGCTTCTTCAATACAATTTCTGTGGCATTTTTGGGATGTCTGTATCTCCTGTACAGTGCAACAGGCTTGAGTACAAGATTCACATTTCTGTAGTAGTTATGGGTGTCAGGTTGCGTTTCTCTACTGATGCCCTTCTGGCTTCTAGCTCACAGCTTTTTTCATGTGGTGGTATAACATGCCTCCTGGGAAGTTCAGCTTTTTGGGTTTGGACATAGGGCCAAGAACCTCTGCTGGCTGTGGAGCACAAAACAGCTGTGGAAAGTATTACTAAGAACAGTTATTCACTAGGCCTGAAAAATAGCATGCCTGGGTGATGGCATAATCAGAGAAAACCAACTATTTGTTGGAAGTACAGACAATCTACATGCATGCTGAGACAAAAATTTTTATAGGTGCATAGAGGTGTATAAATGTAGACAACTAGAGGAATTTGGAATTAATAGCACCCCGGCAGTAGCTGGCTTATTGCCTGGCCTCCTGGCCCAGGGGGAAGATTCAATAGCAACAGAATTCACAGAATCACTGGGTTGGAAGAGACCTCCAAGATCATCGTGTCCAACCCATGCCCTAACACCAAAAACTGGACCACAGCACTGAGTGCCACACCCAGTCTTCTTTTTAAACACATCGAGGGATGGCGATGCCGCCATGGGCAGATCACTCCAATACTTTATTACCCTTTCTGTATAAAACTTTTTCCTAATATCCAACCTATATTTCCCTTGGTGCAGCTTGAGACTGTGTCCTCTCGTTCTGTCAGTTGCTGCCTGGTGAAAGTGACCAACCCAAGAGACCAAAGCTGCCTCTTTCTGCCCTGGCATCTTTTGTATAAGAGCAATCCTTGAACATACTCAGTTCCGGAGTTTGACTCCGGATTATTGAAGTGGACTCCTGAAAGTAGATGGCAGTACCCTTTGGCAAGGAAAGCATTTAGCCTTGGTGTTGGTGGTGCTGATGTTAGGCTGCCCTGGGGAGGTAAAGGCAAAGAAACATCTTTCTGTAGTGCTTGGGCAGGAGTGGGTTCACTGGGAAAAGAGGTAGATTATTGACAGCTGCTGCAGTGACAGTGCTTGCTCCTCAGGAAAACTGAGCACAGGAAAATAGCAACAGGGGCTGTGGAAGGTGGGGGGAGAATCCCTGCTCAATAGGGTGGGTTGCCAGCTTTCTGTTGGGTACTGGATTTTCAGAGGTAACTGCACAAGCTTTGATATCTTACACAAAGTCTGTCTTCAAATTGTCTATTGTCTTAGATGTCTTTGAAGCAGCAAGTTGAGATGCTGGGCTTGAGGAAGATCCAGGCAAGATGACTGGATAACCAGACCCAAGTCACTCAGCTGATGTCAAGTCTCAAAAGCTTGTGAAATCATCAGATAGAATGAGTTCTGGCCTGAGAATAAGATAGCCCTGTGCTGTCTGCTTGTCCTTCTGTTATAACAAAGACCTTTCTGAGTTTTGCGGTCTGAGCTCCTCATCTCCTTGTGGTCATAATAGCAAGTCACTTTTTGGCCAACTGTAAAGGAACAAGTCCTGGTAAAGTTAGCAGCTCTGGAGCTTGAACATTAACCAGATCCAGCTGTTATTGTTCT